GATTATCGCATGCGACAAGGATTTCACCACTGTAGGGGTGGCTAACCTTTGGTCTTCCAGCTGTTCTGTCTTCCAGCTCTCATCACCCCTCACTATTAGACATGCTGGCTGGGGCTGGTAGGCATAGGAGTCCAACCACATCTGGAGAAAGACAGATCCTCCAGCCCAGATATAAAGTGACCAACAAGGAAAACTCGCTTCTGAAATGCGGGAGAGGGCATGCAAGGTTATAAATGCCTGCAATATCCATATAACTGCATGCACTGACAGCACAATTGATGGCAGAAAGCTATTCCTCTTTCTCGGGAGACATTACAGTAAAATTTCTGCACACCGTCTCACAACATGGACTCCTAACACAGAATCCCGTTGGCAATCACGTTAAAACGTAGTGCCGTCGGGACAAAATATTCCAAATGATGGCTTAACAGTCTGAGAGCTCAAGCACACATGCTGTATTGCTTTCTCAGCACCACTCAGTTCCAGCTTATGAATATTTGATCTCCTGAAATCACTTGAAAATTTAGGAAGGCATTGCAGAAATCCAGTTGGAACAATTAGCCTCCTGCGCAAAGTGTTGCTCTTAAATCTTTTAAACCGCTCATCTTAATGAGCTGTGAATGACAGGGAAAGCACTTAAAACTCTGTATCCAGGAAATAAGCTGCTAGGATTTCTGGGTGAGTGACTGTGCTTATTCCCCAGAGGAAACAACTGTCCTCTCAATAAGCCTAGAGTGCTAAATTCAGGAGAGACCCAGCCTAACTCCCACTGAAGCAAAGTTTCAGTGCTGAGAAATCCTGGGCTCCCCCCAGATGAGTGGTTTCCTGAACATTCATCCAGATTTGCTTGAACAAAGGTTACAACAAGAGGTTGGACTACATATGATCTTCACAGAGCATTCATTCTGATTTGCTTGCAGAGAGATCATACGACAATGAGCAGTGAAGGATAACACCTCGTACATCTCATGAAGTGGACTCTAGACCATGAAAGTTTACACTAAAGGTTCACCCACACCTCCATTTGCCCCACCACACTCCCCTAGGAAAAGCCACATTTTACCGCTGAATTGGACTAAATTGCAACCGGGTTTTCCACAGAATGCTGTTTGCTCCGATTCAGCAGTAAAGAACATGAATCAAGAAGGGAGGGAAATATAGATTGTGTAGATGGTGGCTGACTGGCACCTTCTAAAAGCAGCTACAACTGCTGGTTGGTTCATCATCAGATTCTTGGTACTATAATCAAATATATCACAAGCCAGTTGTCATCTGTGATGGAAGGGCTCAGTGCAGGCCAGAAGCAATTCCAGCTATTTGGAGCCACTTGATCGCTGATATAATATTGCTGTTTAACCACATAAGCTTCAAATTGCACATTTATTGTTCATGTTTGCCCTGTGCCCAGTGGCCTGATCCTGGAACACACTTTCTCAAGCCCATGCATCCTGACTAGTGCAGTGTCCAAACCTATCCTCCAGTTACATGTTTGCTGAAGCTCTCCTGGACTCTGACTCGTTAATTTTTCATTTGATCTTGTGCAAATCCAGTTTTTAGGAAATCTTACTGAATACTGTTGTGCTTCTATGTAAAGTGCTTTCGGATTTTTTCACACATTAAGTGGCATATTTCTTAAAATAAATTTCCCAAAACTCGGCTGCCCCCCATTGCAAAGATCCTTCTGTTTTTCTGCCTCTTCCCCAAGGCCCTTAGAATTTCAATACAGCTTTGGTGGGTGTGAGTTGAGCTTACCTTATTGCTTCAAGGCAGCCATCAAGGTTTTTCTTCCCATTAAACATTTATCCAGTGCTTTGAGGCCTCTGCAGTTGCCTGTACTTCCTGATCTGAAGAAAGCCCATGAGGGGAGTTACTTCATGGTCTCTCTGCTCCCCACACCCTGCTGGAGCTTGAACTGAATCACAAAAGCCCAGGGAGGCCAGCTGCCAAACACCTGAGATCAGGGCACTCACTGATTTTCCTTTTAAGGGGCTTTGTAGATGTCTCTTTTCTCTTACCTTTGGTAAGCCTGCACTCCATTCTTTAAAGCCGAAAGGTTTCACTGAAAAAAAAAATATTGAAATATTTTTAAAGCATATTGCAGCAGCATCCAAGCATTGTTCAAGCACAAGTAGTCGGGGGAATTTGGTGGGGGACTACAGCTCTGCCACCACTTGGAGATAGAAAAATGAGATATAAAAATAAAAAGGGGGAAGCTGACACCATCTCTGTCACTTGTCTCCAATGCCCTGGTTAGGTATGGGGGAGAATAAAGGTAAAGGTAAAGGGACCCCTGACCATTAGGTCCAGTCGTGGCCGACTCGGGGGTTGCGGCGCTCATCTCGCTTTACTGGCTGAGGGAGCCGGTGTGCAGCTTCCGGGTCATGGGGCCAGCATGACTAAGCCGCTTCTGGCGAACCAGAGCAGCGCACGGAAACCCTGTTTACCTTCCCGCCGGAGCGGTACCTATTTATCTACTTGCACTTTGACGTGCTTTCGAACTGCTAGGTGGGCAGGAGCAGGGACCGAGCAACGGGAGCTCACCCTGTCACTTGGATTCGAACCACCGACCTTCTGATCGGCAAGCCCTAGGCTCTGTGGTTTAACCCACAGTGCCACCCGCGTCCCCATTATGGGGGAGAATACCTTGATTCAATTCACACTTAAAGGCAAACTTACAAAATTCTTACTTTTCAGAACAATACATGAAACGAAACCCAGTCATCCTTCCAAACCTGTGCATCTCTCAATTTTGCAATTTTTTTTTTCCAGCCTAGCAGTGTGAACCAAAATGCCTATGCCACGGTAAAGTGTGCATAAAAATGCATATAGTAATGAAAACAACACGTGAAATTGCATTATGTTAGGGGAAATGGCTTTGCGTAATGACTTTTTGTAATGAGAGCCAGCGTGGAGCAGTGGTGAAGGGTGTCAGGCCAGGATTCAAATGTCCACTCAGCCATGAGGCTCACTAGGTGACTTTTGTCCTGGTACTCCTCCTCGACCTAAGCTACTTTGCAGGGGAGAAACAAAAATGGACATATTCACCTAACCTTAACCCTGCCCCACCCCAAATTTTAAGTATTCCTTCATGACTACCCTGCATAAACCAAGGTGGAAAGCCCTCAGCCCAGCTCGAGCCCAAATACAGGATTCTATAGATCTGGAATGGGGAGTCAATGGCTTACCAGCTGTTGCTGGACTCCAAGCCCCACCAGCCCCAGCCAGCGTGACCAACAGTTAGGGATGATGGGAGTTTTCATTGGAAGGCTACAGTTTCTCGCCTCCTGCTATAGCCCCTTGAAACTCCATGGACTTACATACACTAGGCACAGACTTCACACGTACATTATGATCCAACACAGTGCCTGGGGCAGAGAGGGGGAAGGAGAGATCCATGCACACAAAAGGATTTCCATTACCAAAATATCAAGCCAATTTCCCCACTGAAATGCAATATGAGTGCTTGTTTTGTCTGATTAGGGAATACACACACTTTGCCCCTCGCCCGGAGGTGTTAATCTCAAAACTCAGAGATTTGTTTGGTGGTTTGTTGGCCCAGCTTAGATGGCAGAAATATGCATCACGGCAGGTTTCTTTTAAAAGATGGCATTAAATATTTAGTATTTGAGAAAACATTTTCCAGTACAGTGAATCAACAGCACAACCCTGAGAAAGTATTGCAAATGTCTAGACTAGACATCAGCATCAAATTGTCTCGCTTGTGTCTGCAACCAAGCACCAGGGATATTTCCAACATTGCACTGCACATTGTTTTTTAAAAAATGTTCCATTTATTTGTTCAGTTTTCAGAGAGGCTAACAATAAAACAGAATGCAATAATATCCAAATGAAAGCTCAAACTGCAATAAAACACACACACACTGTGATTTAGAAAAAAAATAGTTGTTGTTTAAGATGATAATTAAAGCAGTTACAATTTTCATTTGTTTTTCAAAAAGCATGTCAATTTAACATAAAGGTGTCCATCTTAATGCCCATGCCATGTAAGCAGTAACCTTTGGGCCCAGGTTGCTGAATGTGCCCCTCTAAGAGCGCATAATAATAATAATAATAATAATAATAATAATAATAATAATACCCTGCCCATCTGGTTAGTTTTCCCCAGTCACTCTAGGCGGCTTCCAGCAAAATATTAAAATACAATAATTCATCAAATATTAAAAGCTTCCCTAAACGGGGCCTTCAGATGTCTTCTAAAAGTCTGGTAGTTGTTGTTCTCTTTGACATCTGGTGGGAGGGCATTCCACAGGGCGGGTACCACTACCAAGAAGGCCCTCTGCCTGCTTCCCTGTAACCTCACTTCTCACGGTGAGGGGACCACCAGAAGGCCCTCAGCGCTGGACCTCAGTGTCTGGGATGAATGATGGCGGTGGAGACGCACCTTCAGGTATACTGGGCCGAGGCCATTTAGGGCTTTAAAGGTCAGCACCAACACTTTGCATTGTGCTCAGAAACGTACTGAGAGCCAATGTAGGGGCCGGTGTTATGTGCTTTCAATGTCTACTGCCAGTCACCAGTCTAGCTGCCACATTCTGGATTAGTTGTAGTTTCCGGGTCACCTTCAAAGGTAGTGCCATGTAGAGCGTGTTGCAGTAGTTCAAGCGAGAGATAACTAGAGCATGCACCACTCTGGCAAGACAGTCCACGGGCAGATAGGGTCTCAGCCTGTGTACCAGATGGAACTGGTAGACAGCTGCCTGGAAACAGAATTGACCTCTGCCTCCATGGATAGCTGTGAGTCCAAAATGACTCCCAGGCTGTGCACCTGGTTCTTCAGAGGTGCAGTTACTCCATTCAGGTCCGGGGAGTCCTCCATACTCACCCGCCCCTCAAAAACAGTACTTCTGTCTTGTCAGGATTCAACCTCTAAATGGCCCTAAGAATTATCTGCAAGTCACACTCTTCATTAGCTCTGCTCAAATGGTTTCCTCTGTCTGGAATGTGCTCTTGAACTGTGATGGTGCCACAGTGAGGGTGTAGGACCAATTTAGGCATGGGATAGCATGAGACTCTTAATCTCAATGTCATGGGTTCAATCCCCACATTGTGCAAAACATTATGTGTTGCAGGGCTTAGACTAGATGGTCCCTTCCAACTCTCCAATTCTATGAAACTATGAAGATGGCCCTTCCCATCTGACTTACAGAATCTGATGGATTTCTGATTGCTCTGGGGGATTTTCCTGTGGATAGAGCAGGTGATCTCTTTGAGGCTCTTGTTTTGCTGTAGAATGGTGAGATGGAGAAGGATATTTACACAAGTTCTCTTGAGCATCTTCTCCAGGACTGTGGAGCCCTCAGAGCACCCTGGTATTCTAGGAATCTATGTGTGATGAAACATGCTGAATGACAGCTAGAGCACTGGTGGTGCGGACTTCAGGAACAGAACTTCAAATCTACCACCAAATTCTTATTTGGAAGAGAATTCAGCAACATCTTCTGTGGTCATCAGGACATTCGGAGTCAAAAGGCACCACAATCTGATTTGGTAAGACCAGATTGCACACAGCAATGGGAAAACGCCAGCATACATTTTTGTGCAAATTAATCACTGGAAGAATATGTCTATAACCAGAATCTGGCCTCTTATAAGTAACCAACTGCTATGATAAAAATCACAATCTTCTTGTTGTAACATCTGAAACAGTTCAGCAGAGACTGGACCTGATATAAATTTCAACATGATTCACAGTGACAGTTAACACAAAGCAAAAAAAATTTAAAGAAAGCAGGCCAACCATTCACAAATCAATTGGTGTTGTAAATTGTGATTAATGATGAGCTCCCATTTGTGATTATATATATATATAAAATTCACAGTATAACAATTGGTTATTAAGTTGTCAGTGAGACATTTATTGTGCCACTCATATACGGTAAAGGATGTTCTTGGTGACGTACTTTCAATCTGAAATGTAGAAATTCACATTAAGTGCTATGATACTGGTATTCATTAAGATTGGATATTGTATTACAGATGAAGATGCTAATTTATCGGGGTGGAAATGAATGTTGGCAGTGTAAGGAATGATAACATGCAAAAGGGGGAAAAAAGGGAAAAGCAAAGAAATAACACTTGATGCAGGTACATTTTCCCTACAAGTGAGAGCTAAGCCACTCAGGGATTTGCTCAAAAAGGATCCTTTTGTTCCCCCCTCCCTTACAATTACTGCAGGGTCATTTCAGGCCCATTTTCTCTGAGAATATCTGGAGACTATTGCCAGACTACACTTTGCTTGAGAGACACACGAGGCACCAGAAAATTTACAGATGTCATTCTTCACTGTGCGTTGACAGTAAAGGGTGCATTAAAAAAAGAACTGGAGGAATTGAAGTGGCACTAATTTTTAACTCATATAGTGGCTTACAGGGAATAGCAAATGGTTTAGGATGTTGTACTCAAAAGGAGGATGCCTTGAGGATACCTACCTGTCCTGCATGTTAAAAATAAGAGGGCATTTTTTAAAAATAAAAACCAAACCCTGATAATCACAAGCACTTCAAAAATTACATCACCCAGGCAGCCCCATATTACTGAGTTCTACAAGGGCAACATTGAGATTAAGAAAAAGGAGAAAACTGATAGCCAATGCCAGTTCCTGGACTGGTTGTAATTAAGGTGGGGGGAAAGGGGTGCTGACTAAGGGCAGATTGAAATTGGTGAGAACAATACCTCCATCTCCTCTATCCAACCTGCCTTCACTGTAAGTATCCATCTACAATAGGGTAGTGATAAAGCGGGATATCGAATCCAACTCTTCTTCTTCTTCTTCTTCTTCTTCTTCTTCTTCTTCTTCTTCGTTCTCAAACTTAATCCATTCCAGAAGTCAATTTTAAAACCAAAGCGTTCCAAAACCAAGGCGTGCTTTCCCATAGAAAGTCATGCAAAATGGATTAATTTGATCCAGACTTTTAAAAACAACCCCTAAAACAGCAATTTAACATGAATTTTACTATCTAATTAGACCATTGATCCATAAAATGAAAGCAATAAACAATGTACTGCAGTCACACAATCAATCAGTAGTTGAACTGGGTTCCACACAGTCACGAAAACAAAACAAAAAAGAGCTGCAAAAACAAAAACACAAAATAAATAGCAAAAACAAACAGACCTCAGTGTAACACTCAAAATGGAAGTGTGGCACTCAAATCGGAAGCATAACACTCAAGCACCTAGGTACTGAGACTGTGTGAGGTTGTATCTACAGATATTTTCATATAAAGGATCCTTGCCTTACTGGGAGTCAGTCTACAGGGCTAAACAACATTTGAACTTAGTCCTAGGTGGTGATGTTGGAAATACAGTCATACCTCAGGTTACAGACGCTTCAGGTTGCGTGTTTTTTTTGTATATAATTTTTATTAATTTTCCAATAAAAACAAATTTATAACACAATTAAACATTAGGAATTCATCACACGTCTTTTTTCTTTTAGACTTCCATCAACATGTCTGATAATTTTCCGTAGTTATTACATATCTTCACATTTCCTCATTTATATTGCACTATGTATATCTTATCTTACCATGTTATTTAAACAATATTTCTACCAAACCTTCTTACAGAGCTTCTTGGAAACTTACAAACATTATATCATTATCACAAATATTTTTAATATATTCTGTAAATTTATTCCAGTCCTCAGTGAATCTTTGGTCCCGTCAGTTGCGAATCCTCCCTGTTAATCTGTCCAGTTCTGCATAATCCATTAATTTCGTTCTCCATTCTTCAATCTTGGGCATTTCTTCTTGTTTCCATTTCTGGACCACAAGAGTTCTAGCTGCTGTTACAGCATACAAAAATACTTTCTGATCCTTCCTTTTTATCTCACCACCTAAAATTCCTAATAGGAATGCTTCTGGTTTTTTAACAAATGTATATTTCAATATTTTCTTTATCTCATTATATATCATTTCCCAGAAGCACTTCATTTTTTTACATTCCCACCACATATGATAAAATGTCCCTTCTTTCTCCTTACATTTCCAACATTTATTACTTACCTTATACATCTTATTTAATTTAACTGGTGTTATATACCATCAATATATCATTTTCATAACATTTTATTTAATTGTGGTGCATGCTGTAAATCTCATCCCTTCCTTCCATAATTTTATCCAATCATCCAATTGAATGTTATGTCCAAAATCTTTGGCCCATTGAATCATAACTGATTTAACCTCTTCATCCTTCAAATGCCATTCTAATAGTAATTTATACTTCATAGATAAATTTTTAACTTCATTATTCAATACTTCTTGTTGAAACCTAGATTCTTTTTCAAAATAGCCTCTTTCTGCAACCTCTTTTCTAAACATTTCATTAATCTGAAAGTAATGCAGCCAATCATTTACATGTTTTCAGGTTGCGTTTTTTTGGGTTGCGGACCGCTGAAACCCGGAAGTACTGGAACGGGTTGCTTACGGGTTTTGGCAGTTGCACATGCACAGAAGTGCTAAATTGCGCTTTGCGCATGTGCAGAAACACCAAATTGCAACCCGCAAGTGTGGAGATGCACCGCAGCAGGTTGCAAACGTGCATCCTGCACGGATCACGTTCGCAACCCGAGTGTCCACTGTATTGATTTAAAATCAACCAAGGGACTCTTCAGTGATGGATATTGCAAGGCAACTCTTCTGACTTTCAGCACCTGTAGAATTCCAGCTATAATCATGAAAAAGAAGGCTCACTTAGCTCAGAAAGGAATCTTTTCTTATCTGCTTTTTGAAGACACATCACTTAAGCCACTGTTTGTACCCGAAAAGGTGATCAGGAGGAACAAAGTCACCTCAACTAAAGCTGACATTTGTCCTGTACGCTTCTAACTCAAAAGTAAGCCCCATTGACTTCAATGAGATTTACTCCCAGGTAAATGTACAAAGGATTTTTGGCTTAGCTTATGGTGCTGTGCATCAAGGAACCTTACTTTTCTGGCAGCAGGTGATCGGATTGTCCACTACAGGAAGACGTTCTTTGTATTTTATGACTATTACATTACTACAGTCAAAATCTGAGCTGCAGGGAACTTGCTATGGAAACTGCCGTTGTATTGTGCAGCCCTGCGATAGCATGAGTCAGAAACATAAAGTGACTGGGGAGAAAAGAAAATACCATCCTGTTCTTTAGAAGTCGTTATTACTGTAAAATCCTACCCCGGGGTACCGGGCTTGATGTATGCTGAGCCTGGCTTAATGAAAATGTGCACTATAGCACAAGTGAAAAGCATTAATTATTGGTTACAAATTAAAACTTAACTGCAGCGCTATCTAAAAGATGTATGTTAAGCTCCAATTCTATAAACGCCAGGGAATAAGTCCCACTGGAAACAGTGGGATGTCTGAGCAGATATACACAGGATTGCACTGTTAAGATGCAGATTAAAAAAATAAATAAAACATAGCTGTGGGCTTTTCAACTCTGGAGAAAATTCACTGGGTTTTATGCACATCTTTTTTCGTTGTGTATTTTTCTCCTCTTTCTGTAGGTTTATACTTTGAAGGGATGTGCGAAACGAATGGCAGAATTCCATTTCAAATTCCTTTTAGGAGGCATCCTGTATACATGGGTTGGGAAGTCATATTTCCTGGTGGAGAACCTTCTGGGGGTCACATGCTAATGAGGGGTGGAGCCAAAGGCAAAATGGGTGGAGCTATGGATTACCTTTGTACATTAGGCTACATTCCAGCTAGGCAAAAAACCACACACACCCCTCCATCCAATCAGACAAAAGGTAGTATCACAGTTCAAGAATACATCCCACCCAGGCAAAAACACTTGAGGAGGCTATAGTGCAGTGTGGGGTGTCATCTGGGGAGAAGGAATAGCTTACGGAGAGTCCTGAGGGTCAGGTAAATGAAATGTTATGAGAATGCAGATGTTGAAAGAATGTATTATATGTAGTGGGAGGAAGGAATGTTTATTGCTTTGTGGTTTTTTGTTCTTGTTTTTATCATGTATTTTGTGTTTTTATATTGTATTTTTATGTTGGGAACTGTCCTGAGATCTGCGTATGAAGGGTAGTATACTACTACTACTACTATTACAA